AATGCCTCAGTCATGACCTTTCACAGCTGTGCCACTGCTCTTACGTGACGATGAGAATGTAACACAACTGTAAACTGCGAAATGAAGAAACCATTGAACCACTCATTAAATCAGTCGGAAAGAACAACAACCGATTATTTTTATCTTCAAATCTTGAACATAATAAAAATAAAAAGTGAGGCAAACCTTTCACGCTTGTATTCGGAAAGCATTCGTCGAGTAATCTGAATGGCCGTTCTAGCATCACCTGTCATAGCAGCAACTTTCCTTGAGCACAACTCTATTGCCTTGCTGCTTTCTTGATTCTGGTTAAGCGACCGGTCTTCCTAAACAAATTTCCCAACTTTCGCAATCAAAAACGCTTCTGTAAGTAATCTGTACCCCATAACACTTATAGACTTACTGCAATTAACATTTCCTTTATAATTTCCGCCAAGACTTCTCTCCCATAAGGAGAAAAGGTTAGAATTTGTGGAGGCTGTAAGAGTTTCAGCTTTGGTAGGATACGGACAGTTAAATCCAACGAGTTAGCAATGCCTGGAAAAAATTTAAAATATAACAATCATCAAAGAAGAACAGAAACGCCTAAACATGTGCTTATAGAAACAACCAGATCCAATAATGACCGAGTTCACGTCAAGTATGAAGAAATCAAAAATTTAAATGTAAGTAATCTTCAATCGGAAGTCAGTATAAATCAAAAATACCGAAAGACACAATTTAGAAAAAAAATTTATTATTACCAATTAGGGAGACCATCGGGTACTTAGACGGCCACTGGAAAACCCTATAATGAAAAGACCTCCCCTTCGTTTTTACTCCATCAACTTCATCAAGCACAACTACTCTGAAGAAACATAAGCTTGTCATTAAGACGCTAAGGTAAGAAATAAAAGACAATGATCCTCAAATACAACCATACAGAAACTTACATTGAAGATTTTGATCTCGCAAACAAGCTTTCGATTTCAGAATGTAACTGAGAAACAGCAATCATCTTTTTAGTCTCGACCAGCTGTTTGTAAATCTCTCGAAACACTTCATTTTCATGACTGTATGAGACGCAGTTAACAGAAACTACCCGCATACTGGAAACATTTCAGCAAAGAAGAATGACATAACAATATGAATTAAAGGTATGAAACTATAAGCAAAATAATCCACAGATTACAAGACCAATAAAGCACCTAAAAAAACTTGTAAATTAGGTTAATTGCCATTGTGTTCAAAATGAGGCAGAATAAGATAAAAAGAGAGATAACAATACCAACTTTTTATATAATTCTCCTAAACATTTTAGGACCTCTGTTACAGTGGCGGTCTTGCCGGAACCTGGAGGTCCGGATACGTAGAGCGAAAGCGAGCTTTTTCCTTCAATGCTTGTCCTTAGAGAATTTAAGAGTAATTTGAACTCCTTCTCTCTTCCAAACAACACACGCTCATCTACATCAACATCCGGAGAAGTAACAGACTGAGAAGCTCCTGTAAGAAGGTAATAACTACCAACAAAGCAAACCCGCTGCTTAGCTGAATAATGCAATAAGAAAGAAAACAGAAAATGACTAAGAGGATAATCAAACATGGATCCACTACCAATAACTGAGTTAAAAGACAAAAGTGAATACAAAATATTGAAAAAGTGTCATTAAGGACGCAGTACAACTGTCTCTGGAATGTAAAACCAGTACCGTCAATTTCAACTGTATTACCTGCATCGATGCAAAGGGAAGCCAACTTTTTTTCGAGATTGCAGGATCTCCCTCGCTGACCAAACTTTTTTACTCCTTTTTTTGTTGAAAGAGGTTTTTTCTCACAAAAATCCTCCATCTCCTCATCAGACCGTTTTTTTATCTTGGAAGGAGAAGACTCTTCGTTATTTCCAACATCAGTCAACGACTGAGACTTCTCTCGTTTTCTTACAGCCATTCCCCGTCCCTTTCCGCTCCTCTTTCCAATTGAAGTGACTTTGACGTCCCTCCTTGCTTGTGATTCTGTGAGTATACTTCGTCTCGTCACTACCATCTCAAGCTATTAATTTGTAAGAACTGAAAGTAGAAGTTAGATGAATATAATTTTTTTTTTCGAAGCAAAGCAAACATTTCAACAAATCTACGTACATGAAATTCTGAATGAATTAGCAATTGAAAGCTGATGAATTCGTCATATTTCTCTTGCAAACAATCATCCTCAATCATGCTCTTGTGTTTTGAAAATAAGTACCTCAGATTCATCAAGCATTAAAGCATGAATATTCGAGACGTGCTAACTTCAATACTTTTTGTCCTGACTGACAAACAAGAGACTTCAACTGCTCTGATTTGATCATAGATAGAAACGCTGAATTGTTTTATGATTTCTTCAGCGACATTCCAAATTTCTTTCCAGCCTGTATCTCAAAAATCGCACTCCTATTTGGCTCTTTGTGGCACCAAACATAGCAATTACAACCTGTTAAAAAACTGTTTGTTCTTTTTGTGGTGAAACTCCTGTCTTAAAAAAAAAGTCGAAGAAAACAAAATCTAAGTCTCGTGTTCCAGTACTTCTGCCCCATAAAATAGAAGTTTCTGCAACAAATTAGCTCTAAAACTGGAGCAGAATGCCATAGAATGTCGACACTAACTTGAATTACGACTCAATTAGACGCTATAATTAAAATTAAAACACACACACACACAAAAAAAAAAAAAAAAAAAAAAAAAA